GTTGGGGTTAGCAGATGGAAGCTTTTATATGAACAAGAATGGATGAACAAGGTCCTACTGTATAGTGCACAATTATATTCAGTATCTCATGATAAACCATAATGGAAAACTACTTTAAAAAAATGTAACAATCACTTTCCTGTACAGCAGAAATTAACACTGTAAATCAACTATACTTCAATTTTAAAAAATATTGATTAAAAGAAAAACGCTGAAGGTATAAATGGTATCTTTGAACTACCATATAACACTTTAAAAAGTCCCTTTCCTAAAGCACGTAGAGGGTCTTCCACTCAAAGTTTTTTGACTTACTGTGCTGAAACAAAAGCACACACATGCAGTAGGAACTACTTTTGATCTTTTCCTGGCCTGACAGTATGAGGTACCTTCACTGGTGTGGCTGGGTGCTGAGCTGCAGTTCCCAGCCACCTGGCCACAAACAAGTGGTAGACGTAACCACCACTGTCTTTTCGTTTCCAGTATTAAACAAGTTAAATGAGATATTTGACGCCTGTTAAACAGCAACTGTAGGATGTTTTGAGCTGATGGAAGTTTTAGGTAGGGTAAGCTATGTCAGGTGTATTAAACACATTTTCAGCTTCTGATGGGTTTATCGGACATAGCCCATCTGAAGTTGAAAGTCTGTACTTCAGTCAACCAAAACACAGGACCGAGCCCGCTGCAGCAATTTAATTTAATAAAATAAAATTATAAGAGCAAAAGTTACATTTCCAAAGTACCAAAACCTGCAACTGGCTCATGGAGCAGAGCCTAGGGATCCAGGAGCAGAGGGCGGGGGTGGTGCTGGGCGGGACTCCCCACACCCTCCCGCAGCACAGCACCGTCTTTCACTTACTCTCCTGGGAAAGCAGCATTTGGAGCCTACAACACTTGTGCTTCTCTCTCCAGAGTAAGAAACGCAGGTCCCTCAGAGTCTGAAAGGGTGGGTATTCAAGGTAGAGGACAAGCACAGGTGAGGCGTTGGCCGAGCCTACAGGGCAAGACTTCAGGGAATTGGAGGAGGGAGGGGCTTTGGAAGGTGCCTCTGCCTTCTCAATACTGCCCCCTGCCCCTTCCCACTGTCATTGCCACCCTGGGAAGAATCCTGCCCACTAGAGGATGGGGGACTTAAGGCAAAGGGGAAGGCTGCCTCCTGGGCTCCCTACCCCCAACTGCAGAGCTGGTCTGTGATACTGAGAAACCTGCATTTTGCCCTAGAGCCTGCCGCCTCCGAGAAGTTACAGTAGGACAGGAAAACTGGTACAGTGAGAGGGTCCTATTCACTTCATGGCTCAGGCCCCTCAAACCTTCTGCACAGATGACTCAACTGGCACGACCTTCTTTCCCCGCTGCTTTAGACGGCCCCGGGCGTAGACTCGGAGCAGGAGGGCAGCAAAGACCACAGCCACCCCCAGGCCCCCCACCACAGTGACAGTGTGGCCGTAGAGAAGGCAGGAGAGGAGGATGGCAAAAGCCTGGCGGAGGGTCATGATGATGGTGAAGACGGCAGCCCCAAACTGCCCAATGGTGTAGAAGATGAAGAGCTGGCCACATGCAGAGCAGATGGACAGCAGCAGGGTGTGGGCGGCAAACTCGCTGTGTCGCCCCATGAAGCGGACGCCCTCCAGGAGAGCCCCCTGCTCTAGCAGGGAGCCCACTGTGAAGAGGCAGGAGAAGAAGTTGACCCCAAACATCATCTGCACCGATGACATCTTATAGGCAAACAGGGCATCCTGCCAGTTGGAGGTGAAGCTGTCAAAGGCAATGTAACCTGCCAACAGGATGAGGCCTGAGAGCGTGGTGGCCGGGGAGCTGTGGGGTTCCGGTCCGCTGGACAGGAGAAACATGCTGACCCCGATGGAGACGAGGCCGGCGGTCAGATATTCCCAGTGCTCATAGCTGCGCCGAGACACCAATTTTCCCATCAGCATAACAGGGATCACCTTGGAGGCCTTGGCCAGCACCTGGGTGGGGAAGCTGACGAACTTGAGAGCTTCATACTGGCACCAGCTGCTGAGCACATTCGACAGGCTGGCAAAGGAGTACCGGTACATGGGTGCCCCATGCCGGGGCTGCTTGCATAAGATGCAGTAGAGGCCAGACACCATCAGTGCCAACACGCGGTTCATTAGCACCAGGAACTGTGAGTCCGAGAAGCGCTCACCTGGCAATGTGGCCGTGGCCCCGTAGCTGCGGGTCATCACTCTTTCCTGCAGCACTCCCCACGTCAGATAAGACACCTGGATGGGGAAGGGCGGAGGGAGAGGAGATAAGCAAGAGAAGGAAAAGGCAGGCCAAAAAGCGCAACAAGCTCCTCCTTCCTCAGGATGATATCGAAAATGATGAGGATGGACAGCGTAAATATCTGTAGTAACTAGAAGTTACTTTCCTCTTCTCTCCCAAATCTGGATTCATCTTGCAGGCAATCAAGTGTGTGTGAAACGCCAACAACAAATGCTTTAGAACTGACCAGACCCTGTCTGTCCCCACAGTAGGGATGTTAGAGCCGACTCCATCCCAAGTATCTTCTTCTCTATTTTCAACCAACTGTGGGGGGAAGAGTTCTTCTTTTTTTTTTTTTTGCAGTACGCGGGCCTCTCACTGCCGCGGCCTCTCCCGCTGCGGAGCACAGGCTCCGGACGCGCAGGCCCAGCGGCCATGGCTCACGGGCCCAGCCGCTCCGCGGCATGCGGGATCCTTCCGTACCGCGACACGAACCCGCGCCCCCTGCATCAGCAGGCGGACTCCCAACCACTGCGCCACCAGGGAAGCCCATGGGAGGAAGAGTTCTTAAAGAAGACTGCACACCTGTTAGTTCAACATGGTACACTAGGTGGAACCAGAAGTGCCCACTCCAAAATGCCATGAGGTCAGCATCTAAGCACCCCTCTCACACGCAGTAGTGGGTAAGGCTGAAACTTTTAACAGTGGGTTTATGGTATATGAGACATCATTACAAGGGGATGGGAGAAATCACAGAGGGTAGAGACAGGAGGACAGAAAAGACAGCGTTTCCTCCAACCACCCCCAAGAAGATGGTGTGCCTCGGGGAGGAGGAGGACACACAACACAACCACCAGCAAACTGTTGGGACCGGCGGGGTGAAAGCTCTGGTTCCACAAAGTCCCTGTCCGCGGGGACCGACCCAGGAAGAGCCGCAGAGCCTGCCTACTTACCTGGAGCCCCGCAGCACAAAAGAGCAGCTTCAGGGCCTGCCAAGTGGGACTGGTCTCTGCTGGTTCTGCCCGGGGAGCCAGAGGAACCTCATCCGGGGCCTTGGGCTCGTTGCCAAACACACAAGTTTTCACCAGGGGGAAGCAGAGACCCCTGCCTGGAGAAAGCACACAAGGTGAAACCCCAAACTTCTCCCTAGCACCTCATCTCTCCCACAGCTGCCAGCCCGCCCTGCTGGCCGCCCTTCCTCCCGTGCCACGCCACCTCCCCTTTGCACTGCTGGCCAACACTCGTAATACAGACTGAGCAAACTTCCCCACACACCTGTCTCCAGGTAGTTCTTCCGCCTGAAGTACTGCACCAGCAGGTAGCCAGGTACCATAAAGCTCGCATAGCCAGCCGCGTTCACCAAAAAGCGGAAGAACCATAGCTGGGTCCATGACTCCAGAGGGCCTTCGGGGTTCTCTCCACCTGCCCCGAGGGAGGGGAGCGCAGCCAGCAGCACCACTGCCCACCACCTGCGAGGACCGCGGGCAGAAGGATCAGGGTCCAGCTCCTCACCCTCTGGGCCCTCCGGAGGGGACGACACTGGAGAAGGGCCCGGAGTTCCTCCCCGCCCCCCTCAGCTGCAGCCCGGCGCGGACAAAGAGCCTCTCTCTCTCCTGGGGTGGCCGGCGCGAGCCAGGCAGGGATCCCTCCATCCCCGAGAGCGGACCCGCCCCTCCGGCCACACAGGTTCTCTCTGTTCCCTCCAGCGCTCCCTGACCCCGCCCTCGGGGCTCGCGGAGACCCAGGGTCCCCCGATTTCTTCGCCCGACACTCCCGGAGCCCCCGAAGAGCACAACGCCACGGCGCCCGCCTCCACCACCACCCCCCGCCCCCACGCCGGGTCCGGGCAGCGCTAGGCTGGCCTCCTGCCGGGCATATGGGACCCCACCCGTCCCCCCGCGCTGAGGAGCGGCGGTCACGTGGCGCGGGGCTCGGTCACGTGGGCTCGCCACTCCCCCTAGCCCCCCACCTAGCGTCCATGGTCCCGGCCGCGTGGGGCGGAGCGGGGCCGGGGAATGCGGGTCCCCGGGCCGCGCGCTCCCACCACTCCCGCTGTCGCCTCCAGGAGCAGCAGCCGAGGGGCCGGCTAGCGGAAATGCCGCGCTCTTCCCGCCTCCCTCCCCGCGGCCGCCCCTCCGCCCCCGGCCGCGACCACGCAGCGCCCCGGGCCGCCGCCGGGCCACAGCGCCCCCTCGCGGCCCGGCGGGAGACGCGGCTCGGCGCGCAGGAGGCAGGCTGCCTCTGTGGGCGGGTGGGGTCGGGTGGGGTGGGGTCGGGGGAGTGGGAGCTCCAGCCCGGTGCCGCCCCTGCTTCGTCATCGCCCTTAGCCCTCACCACCGGCCCGGAGGTGGTGGTGACCACTGCCATCCTAGGAACGGGGACACAGCTTCTGCATCCCAGGCACATCCCCTTATGTTACCATTTCCCCGTTTTCTGGCAGGAAGATGTCTCCTTCCTTCGGGGGCTGGGCAGCAGTTCTGTCCCCGCATCCTCATGACCTTCGGAGGTTCTTTCTGCGTGACCTGGTCCCCGTCTACCTTGCCCCCTCACCCACCCTGCAGAGCCCCACTGCTCTCAGTTCTTCTAATTCACCAAAAGCCTTCCCCTGAAAGCTCTCCCCTAAACCCCTACTCAGGCCTCCCCTGACCACCCAAAGTATGGCCCTACACCCACTCCACTGCTCTCCCTCCCACGATTCTTTGCCTTCCATCGCGACTTGCAATTACATATTTATTTGGATGTTTATGATTTTAATGGCTGCCTCACTAGACTAGGTCTCCAAGGGGCCAGAAACGGTTTTATTCCCACATATTCTATCCCAGCATAGGCCTGACCTAACAGGTGCCTCAAACATATGTGGAATGAGAGAAAACAACATACGAAGCCACGCTCCCTCGTGTCACCCTCCACAGGCTAGCCCTTCTCTCCAGGGTCCTCCAGGGCCGTGGTGAGGCCTCCCACTTGCATCTTCTCACTCCTCTTTCTCTTCCTCCATCCAACTGCATTTCCACAGAAAGGGCAAGAGACTGTGCTGGACAGAGAGGCCTGAGGACCATTAGGCTCCCTACCCTCCCTACAAGGCCCTACCTTGCTCAAGTGACAATTTCCTTCTCTCTGCCTCCACCACAAGGTCACAGGGCAGGCCTGTCTCAAAATCCCCAATGCACACAAACAGGCACACGCACAAAACAACTCGGGGCGGGAGTGGGGTGGGGGGTGTGTGTTTAAGTCTCTGCTGTTTTAGTGTCATGTTCTTGAAACTTCCCCATCCCCAAAGGCTCAGTTCAGGGCCTTCTGTGTGAAGTCTTTAAACAACAGTGTTTCAAAGTCCTCCTCAGCAGTGAGATGGAACCCTTTAGGGCCCTGCTCACTCACAGTTCAGTGTCTCTCCTCACTCAGGAGAGTCCATGTTGCCTACCGGCTGGCAGCTTCAAGCTGACCCCACGTGGGTAGAGGCAAGAGCCCCGCCATCTTCAACAGAGGTAAACAGGCTTCGCCCAGGTTGCCTGGGGCTTTCGGGGTCCTTCCATCCACCTGGAAGCTCTTCCTTCCAGACTGGCTCTCTTATTTGCGGTCCCTCCTCTCAGCTCGGGACTGTGCTGGCCCCAGGCTCTGGCCTCAGCAGTCCCCAGGGCACATGGCCTGGGCCCAGACTGTAGCAGCTGTGGCTCCAGCTTTCAGATGGGAAGGGGAGGAGCGTCCGGGGCCCTAGAGCCTGTCCCGGCTTCAGTCAGCACACAGCAGTGGCTTCCCGGAGATCTTCAGGTCATCAAAGGGCAAAAGGGCAAAGGGCTGAGGAAGAGGATGGAGAGAAGCAAGATCAGGGCCTGTGGACAAAGGCAGTGGTGGGGGAAGGGGGCTGGGAGACCTATTGGGCCCTTTCCTCCCCACCAAGTGTCGTTGAAGGACATCAGGGAACAAATCTTCCTACTAACCCCCAAAACAGTGGTCCCCCAGGGCTTCTAGGGCCTGTTTTTGTTTTGGGAGGAGGGTGTTGGGAAAGGGTACTCACAAAACATTTTGAATATTTTTTTAAATCAAACATTTAAAAATGGGAAAGATTCTACAGAAAACCTAGGTTTCATCTGTCTTAAAAAATTCCAAGACCTGGGAATATTGGGCCCACATTCCTCCTCTACAAGTATCTGCTGAAGTTGAGTAGAGTGACCTTCAGACAAAAGACTGTCTGGTCTCCCGCAGGCCCCACCACCTGGCTCTCTTACACCCAGCCTGCTTCTCTGATGCGCTTTAGCTGCACGGCTCCTGTAGGAGTCCAAGTTTGGGCCCCTGGTCCTGACCAATTAAGAACACAGACTGCGAGAGGGGCAGAGGCTTGCCCAAGGTCCCACAGCTGGTGAGCGGCAGAGCCGTGATTTACACCCTGGGCTCCTAACTCCTTGACCCTTTCAGCTATTACAGCGCCTGTCTCCACAAGGGAGGTCCTGGACAGTAGAGCTGAGTGTCTGCCTCTTACATCCTCAGCCAGGTCCTGGGGAGTCTCGTCCTCCACGTTTCTCAGCAGGGAGTCGGCACCTGCCTCGCACAGGGTGGATGAGATGCTTCTGAGGCCCCGGCCCGCGGCGAGGTGCAGGGGTGTGCACCCGTTGAGCATGCGGGCGTCCACCCGGGCCCCAGCCTGGAGAAGGAACTGCACCAGACCCCGCTCGTGGGTCTCCACGGCCAGATGCAGCGCTGTCTTCCCGCTCGTGCCCTCCTGGCGGGGAAGAAGGGTGTCAGCCAAGGCCCTCAAGAGAAAGCATCCCGGGCCTGGGCCCTGGGCTGGGCAGCACCTTGATTGGCTGCCTCACCTGTGCGTTGATGTCAGCTCCGTTCTGCAGCAGCAGTTCCATAAGTGGCCAGTTCCTCTGCAGGGTGGCGATGTGGAGACAGGCCAGACCTGGGATGGGGTGAGGGTGGGGGCTGCATCCACCAGCTAGCTCTCTCTCCCTTTCTTCAGGGGCCTCCCTTACCCCTCAGTCCCAAGGGACCCCCTGCCCACTCAGTGCCTCTGATCACAGGACTGTTAAAACACAAACCCAAAAACCCCCTCAAAAGTCTGGGGGGAAAGGAACTCAAAGTTTCCACCTTTTCAGTGTCATGTTATTGAAACTTTCACGCTTCAGGGGTCAGGTTGCTGAGTGACACCCCCACACACACACCGTCCCCCAACACACACACCCTCCCCCATGCACACACACTCCCCCAACACACACACCCCCCCCCAACCCCCCACACCCCCCCCTCCCCCCCCCCCCACACACACACACTCACTCACTCACTCACTTTTCCTAAAACTCTACCTGCCTTCAGGCCGCATCCAAAAGCCACCTTCTTGAGAGCTCTCTGGATCCTCAGGCCCCCAGCCCCTCCCCAGGGGCCACCTCCTCCCATGAGCTCCCCTAGCCTTTTTGCTAGCTCCTTTCTGGCCTGGGCCCCTCTCTGCTTAGAGAAGTAGATTCAGATTCACACCCCTCACCTCTTTCAAATCTCTGCTCAAATGTCCGGGCTCCACGAGGGTTTCCCTGACCACCCTGTTTAAAAATCACATCACCCCCCGCCACTCCAGTCCCCTCACTCGGCTCTACTGTCTCCACAGCAGTGACTGCCTGTTAACCTCCTAGAGGACTCACTTCTTATGTTTATTGTTTGCCTCAGACATTCTCTGTTTTTCTCACAGATGCAAGCCTGGCTCCTACAAGTGTCTGGCACATAGAAAGCCCTCAGTACATTTTTGTTGAATAAATTAATGAGTTCATCTAATCTCTATTAAACTGAATATCTTGAGGGAAAAGTTTAGCTCTCTGCTTAGCATACAGTAAGTTCTCAATAAATTCGAAATAGAACCCATTCATTCACTCATTTGTCCATTCATTCTTTCTTTAAGCAAAGGTATTCTGAGTACCCATGTGCTTAGAACTGGAGATGCATCATCAATGGACAAGCTGTGACCCTCCCTTCCCCAAGAGTGGGGTCCCTGTCTCCTGTCCCCTCCTCATCTCATGGGCCCTGAGGCTGCCCGCACCTTGCCAGTTTTGCAGCTGGAGGTCCAGGGAGTGAGGCGGTCCTCTGCCTAGCTCTGGCTGCCCTTCCAGCAGGCAGCGGGCACAGGCCAGGTGCTGGCGCTGGCAGGCCACATGCAGGGCCGTGTCGCCGTGTCGGTCCTGTAGCACCCGGCTGGCCCCCTTCAGCACCAGGGCCCGAACTGCACCTGGCTGGTCCAGATGTACGGCCAGATGGAGTGCTGTCTGCAGGCACAGAGAGAGGGTCACAGGGCCACTGCAGCATGCTCCCACTTCCAGGAACATGCTAGCATGGGCACAGAAATTGCCAGAGGCCAGCACCTTCTTTGAGGACTGCTTATAAAGGCTATGGTCCTGGTCTTCCTTCTGTTACCCCCCACCAAGTTCTTGGGACCCCGATTCTGGAGGCAAGGTGAGGGGAGTGGCCCCCTGCTCTCCTTTTAGGTCGCTTAAGCCCCTGGAGAAAGGATGGAGTGGGGGGCAGTGTCTAGTATCTCACCTTCTGGGGAGACCTCTGTTACCTTAGGTGATGGGGAGAGGTTGGGGGGAGGAGACAGAGGCACCAGGCAGTCTCCACCTGGCAAACTCCTCCTTGAATGCTCTATGAAGAGTCACCTCTCATGTTAAGCCTTCCCTGGCTGCTTCCCACAGACGTTGGTTCCCACAGCAGCTGGCACGCATCTCCATCACAACTCTTGTCACCATGCTGTGTAATTAGGTATTGACACGAGTCCCCTAGCCCAGGCTTGAGCACCTTGTGGGCAGAGGCTGTTTCTTACTCCTCTCTGCATCCTCAGCTTCTAGCCCAGCGTCTGGCATATGATTTCCTGAGAGAGCAGCCTAAGGATGCTGTGCTGCTGCTGGGGATGGCTGCTGGGACAGACACAGGTATCTGGGCTCAGCCCACTCTTTCCACCCACCTGGTAAAGGTTGTTCTGAATGTCCAGGACCTCCTGAGGCAGCAAAGCCAGGCAATAGAGCAGCACAGCCGGGGCCTCATGAATCACCGCCAGGTGGATCAGCCTGGGAGGAAGAGCCAAGGTTTGGGGTCAGGGCCCAGGCCACAGAGAGTGGGCTGGGGTCCTGGGGTTAGAAGGAACACATCAATGTCTAAGCTGCCACCCATACGGGAGGTGCGGGAAGTGAGAGTTTGGGCCAGGAAGTGAGGGTTGGTGCGGGAAGCCAGGATCCTGGGGGTGGGAGCTCCAAGTTCCCATCTCTGGCCTTCAGGAGGGCCTTGGCTGAGGGAGAGTGCGGGCAGGGTGCTGACGGGACAAGGTCCTTCCTGTCCAGCCTGCCCACACCCCGCTCCCCTCTGGCTCCAGGGCCCTGCCGGGCAGCTGCAGGCTCAAAGCCAAACTGAAAGCTGCTGGGGTGGTGCAGAGGGGGTTTCCAGGGCTGGGCTCCCCATCTCTGCCCGCCTCAGCGGGGAGGACAGAGAGGGCAGGGGTGGGATCACTCCCCTCCCCCCTCAGAAACACATTCCAAGAGACAGAAGCTCTTGGCAGAGGAGCAGGAAGCAGGGCAGAACCCTATCCTGCTGCCCTCCACGGGGCGGCCAGAGGGCCACTCTTCAGACGGCGGGGCGTGGGAGGGGCCTGACCTAGGGCCCCCGCTCCCGTGCGCGCCTCCGAGGGGAGGTCTGGCAGTGCAGAAAATGTGTGCTTGGTGGGGGATAAAGAGCCGTAACCTGGGGGGCGGGGGGTGGCTAGGAGGGGAAGTTCCAGCCTTGGGGTTTCCCCACATCAGGTGGGGAAAATGAAAGCCGGAGCTGGAGGGTCTAGGCCAGGGACAGCTGCCTCGGGGCATTCGACAGGCGGGTAGCTCAGCTGAAAGGCCCGTCTGGGCTGGGGAGGGGGCTGCTCGGGTGGGAGGGGCGCTGGCTCTGGTGGCAGGCGAGGCCCAGGAGAGAGTGACGGAGGGAGGGAGGAACCGCGATGGAAATCCCCTCGGCCAGGGCCTGCTCTCTGGTCACATTCCTGCAGCCACCTCCCTCTCTCCCTCAGTCTCCCCTCCTCCCACTTCCTCTTCCCATTTCCATATGTCCCACAGCCCAGACACCTCTGGAGGGAAGAAGGTGCCCCCTCCTCTCAGGGAACCCCCAGGGGAGTCTTGACACCTCTCCCCCCAACCTCCCTAGGGTCTAGACACCACATCTGTCTCTACTAGAGATGGTCAAGGCAGGGGCTGGGAGGTTAACAAAGGAGGGCGGGCTCAGAAACCGCCACTCCCTGGGTCAAAGGTCAGCCATAGGTATTCTGCACGGAGCTCACACAATCTTGGTTGTGGGCCTGAGGGCTGGTGATCTGGACACAGAGTACAAAAAGGCCTAGGGTCACCCACTGGGTCAAGAGACTATCTTTCTCAAAGGCCACCCAGGACCCTTGCATCTCCAAAAAATCAGGTCAAGACAGATATCTCCTGCCTCCTCAGCCCCGTTCATTCCAGCATCCCAGATCTGGGACCCCAGCTCCCCTCCACTCTGTTTCTCACCCCCCCAAATCCCAGCCACCCCCTCTCCTGTCGGTGTTTTCTTCTCCCCGAGGGGCAAATCCTCAACTGGCCAGTCCCTGCCACGTAACTGTCTCTTACTTCAACTGCCCCCCAGCCCAGTCTCCACCAAGCTCCACCTGGGCCTGGGGAGGAAGGATGAAGTAAAGGGGTCACACAGGACAGTGAGGGGGACTTGTGGGGCTCAGGAGGTGGAGAGTGTCGGTAAGGCTGACTCTAGCCCTCACTTCCCCTTTCTCAGCAGAGGAGGAAGTTAGCTGGGGCAGCCAGCCGCCTGTCTGTCTGCTGGGGCAAGAGTGCCCCAGCCTGGCTCACCTCCTCCTCCTTAGGGCCAGCCTCAGCAATGCACCCTGGCAGCACCCCCAACCCCAGCTTCCTGGGCCCACTGGCAGCCTGTAACTGGCCCCTCTTGTTCCTTGAGACAGGGCATTCTGCGGTCAGAGGCCGGGAATCCCAGATATTGAGCAAACAAGGACGCCCTGTCCCCCAGTAAGGAAAAAACAAAACAAAACAAAACAAAACTGGGCTGGTCAGGGGAATTTTCTCTTCCTAGGGATGGGTTACTGATAGATTTCCAAGATGCTAGCTGTGTTTCCAGGTGCCTGGTAAGGGCCCTGCCAAAAGGTGGGGCATGCAGATGATGCCAGGTCCTCCGGACTGGTCCTGGCTACAGAAAGTGGGTTGAGAGTTAAGTTTGAAAGAGAGAGTGGGGACGGCCCCTTCCAGGGCTGGTGCCTTGAGGGATTCTCACATAGGGGGTTGCGGCTCCTGGGGGAGATCCCGAGTTAGCATTGGGAGGGAGGAAGGGATCCTATCTTAGCCTAGCCCCCATACTCACGTGTCTCCGTCCTCGGAGATGTAAGTGAGTGCTTCCAGCTGCTGAGGGCTCAGCGCCCCCGCGGCGGGAAGCCGCGAGTCTGGGGCTGGGTCCTCGGTCTTGGGGTCCCCCAACAAGGACAGGGGCTCAGTGAGCGATGAGGAGCCATAGGTAGAGTCAGCCCGCTCCCCATCTGTATCTTCCTTCTCCTCTGGCTCCTTGGCGGTTCCCGGAGGATGAGTCCAGGGCTGGGGGCCCCCTCCGTCTGAGGGCCCAGAGGCTGGGGCCGGGGTGGGCTCGGGCAGAGAGCGCAGAGAGCGCAGAGAGCGCAGAGACTCGATGCCCGAGTCATACTGGCTCTCATCAGTCTCGTCCGGCCCCTTCCGCGCCTCAGACATCCCCGCGGCGCCGGCCCGCCGGGGCCCGGTCCGAGCAGAATCCGACTCCGCGCCGCCTTTCCGGGTTGCAGGTCCGCCTTGCAGAGCGGGTGCTGGGCCCGGAGTGGCCTTCTTCCCGGGCTGCGGGGGCCCGAGGGGTCGGCGAGAAGCGTGGAGAGGCTTGGAACGCTGGCGGGGTCCTCGGCATCCGCTACTCCGGGCAGCTGGGTAGCCCAGTCTGAGGCGCTCGCTCGCCCCGCCCTCAAGCCCCGCCCCCGGCAGGCGCCGCGCTTCCGGACCGAGGCCCCGCCCTTCGGAATCCCCCTTACCCCGCCCTCTGCGTTGGCTCCGAGTCAGGGGTTCCCCGGTCCTGACTCACTCGTGCGTTAATTCACCCATTCATTCATTCATTCATTTATCCAACCATCCATTCATTCTTTCCCTCTTCCTTCTTCATTCCATTTGTTAATTCCATGCATGCTTTCTTTCCTTCACTTCCTGTTTCTTCATTCATTTTTCTCATTCATTCATTTATTCTTTTTTTTTTAAATGCTTCCTAGGATCTTTTTTTTAATTAATTATTTATTTATTTAGGCTGCACCGCGTCTTAGTGGCGGCGCGCGGGATCTTCGTTGTGGCACTCGGGGTCTTTAGTTGCAGCATGCGGACTCTTAGTTGGGGCATGCCGACTCTATGCGGGCTTCTTAGTTGAGGCAAGCATGCGGGATCTAGTTCCCCAACCAGGGATCGAACTGGGCCCCCTGCATTAGGAGCACATAGTCTTACCCATTGGACCACCAGGTAAGACCCCATTAGTTTGTTTTTAAAGGAATATTTATTAATCATCTGCACAAGCTGGGCATCCTCTGGGGAGGGCACGTGGGAGGTGGGACGGGGAAGCGTTGCTACCTGTCTCCTGACCATTGCTCTCAATTTCTCTTGCTTTTCCAGGAGACAAAGGGGACACCCATGTCTTTAAAGGAGAACTTCTCCCTTTGGGTCCTGGATAGAGAGTCTCCTGTGTCAACTTCCCAGATCACATAGAATCGGACATGAGGATGTGCTTTTTTTAAAAAAAAAATTTATTTATTTTTGGCTGCGTTGTGTCTTGTGCTGCACGCAGGCTTTTTAGTTGCGGCGAGCAGGGGTTACTCTTCGTTGCGGTGCGGTGCGCAGGCCTCTCATTGCGGTGGCTTCTCTTGTGGAGCACTAGGCTCTAAGTGCGCGGGCTCAGTAGCTGTGGCCCACGGGCTTAGTTGCACCGGGGCATGTGGGATCTTCCCCGACCAGGGCTCAAACCCGTGTCCCCTGCATTGGCAGGCGGATTCTTAACCACTGCACCACCAGGAAAGCCCAGGATGTGCTTTTTGAAAGTGATTTTTTTCAGGAAAACTGTTGTCTAAAAAAGCAGAGGGGTCATTCCTCACAGGGATGAAACAGTGGCCTCGGGTGGTGACATCGGGTTAGGGAAGTTTAGTTCCTTATTGTGGGACCAGGATGGGGAGGCCCGAGATATGCTGGGCAGCACTCTGCTGAGGTTCCCTCGGCAGCCCCAGCCCCAGCACATCTTTCCTCCTTCCCCATCCCTACTTTCCCTGGGGCTAAGGAGGATGTAGGCAAACCCCACTCACGTGGTGATCACTGCCCCATGATTTATCCCCTACCCCAAGTTCCAGCAATGCACTGAGAAGGTCATCCCCAAGAAAACATCTCCCTTTTCCATCTCTGGCATTGGGGGAAGGAAGCTGGGGTGTGCACGGGCAGCTGCTAAGCAGCTTCCCTACCACCATCCCCATGAAACCTCATTTTATTCATTCACTTGAAAAACATGTATGGAGATTCTCCTAAATGCCTGACATCGTTCTCTCTGCTGGAAGCAAAACCGAGTATCACAGTAACAGTAATAACCAACAACACCCCTCCCCAACAAAAAAATTTTCCCATGGTTCCAGCCTTCAAAAAGCCCCCTCAAAGTTACAACACAGAATGATTGGGCTAAGATAGGAGTGAAAACAGGGTGCTAGAGAGGCACAGCATGGGGCCAACTACCCAGTGGGGTGAGAGGAAGGGGAGGTTCCATTTGAACTGGAGATGGGAAGGGAAGCGGGCTGGGAGAAGTACCTAGTCTCTGTTTGGGGAGGGCGTGAGTGGATGGAGAAGGGAGGGGGAAGGGCAGAAGGGAGGAGATGACCCACTGCTCTCCATCCCCACCGATGACCAGAGTGGGGAGGATGTGTTGAGCATGAGGCAGTGAGGAGCCGTGAGGGGAAAGCCCAAGGAAATTGAGGCATCTCCTTCCCTTGGAGTCAGTGTGACTTCAGATGTTCTCAACTTCCTCCCCTGACCTGTTCCTCTCCCAACCTCAAAGGCTGGAGCAAAAAGTACAACCCTAACCACTTGGGTTCAAAATCACCTCCATTTTAAAGTTGCAAGCTGAGTCCCAGAGAGGTGAGTTGGCTTGCCCAAGGTCAAACAATCTGAAAGTGTAGAGCTGCGTTTTCCTGTTCCTAATCCAAAACTTTAAAAATGTTTTCAGTGAAACTTTCTTTCCTTTTTGAAGGTCTAAGGGGTTGGGGACATCTGAGCTCTCTGCAAGGACACAGGAACTCAGGAGTGTGCAGGGACCGCCTCTCTCATACGTACAGAGGCTGATTTTAAGGAAAAACATACCCCAATCCAGTCCAGTGTCTGGCTCTAAACCATAACAGGTGTTTGGCAGCCCCTTTTCTGGCCACATGAGGTCAGCATTGAGTCACTGACTACTTCCAGAATGTAGCCTGTACTAGGACAGGAAGCCCTTGTGGGGAAAATTTAGGAATGGGAACAGGGACCATGGCAGTGTCATCTGGAAAGATGACCTGGGGACTTTGACTCAGGTCACAGCATGGTCAGGGTCCTGACTTCACTCTCTCAGCTCCAATCTTCAAGGCTGGGCCCCTCCAGTCCTCTTCTCTGTTTTCTGGTTCCCTCTGTGGTGCTCTCACTTCCCATCTATGCCCACTCCAGCCAGGCTCATCTTCGGGAAACAGGCCCAGTTGCCAAGGTGACCAGCCGGTTAGCTGGCTCCTTCCACAGCCCCCTCCTTTCACCCCTCTTTTCTCGGGGCTTCCAAGGAGGGGGCATGTGTGTGTATGGAGAAAGGGGAGGTGGTCTTTTATCTCTTGGGAGCTCTGGGGTTGGCCAAAAGAACTTGGGCTACCTCTCTTCCAAAGCCCCCTGAAATGGAGTCAGGAAGGCAGTGGGGCTGGGGGACAGGAGGAAGATTAGAACAACTAAATGGTGAATGTGAAGATCCCATCTGGGTTAGGAAACGCCAGGGTTAGGACCTCTGCTCTCCATCTGCAGTAAGCACTGAACTAGGTGGAGTGAACTGATACCAGAAGAAGGGTTGGAGTTAGCTGTAGGCAGGACTTCCCAAAAATCATGGGTAGGAGAGAGACACTGGAATGAGCCATCAAGTGAGATTCTTCCTCTGCCATGGGGATGAAGGAGAACCATGCCTTTTGGGACCACACCCTCCCTCTGTTTTGGCAGGGAGGATGGACTCACTGAGCTGGGGAGGATCATGTAGGCTGGATAGTTCTGAAGTGACAGTCAGGCTGAGCCCCCTTCACCTTCCCTGGAAAGGGAAGAGTAGGAAAATGGAGGCAGGACCAGGAGTGGGAGGTGGGTGTGTGGGTGAAGGCAGAGGCTGTTCTGTCCCAGAGGAGAGGCAGGACCATCAGTGGCCTTTTCCTCTATTCCCAAAGATCAGATATCCAGGCTTTGCCTCAAGCTGACTTCTGACCCCCAAAGATCCCTATGGAAAGGTCTGGATTCTAGGACCACTCTTTGAGTACTAGCAAGTGACCTTGAATAAGTCACTAACCCTCCTTCTGCCTTGGTTTCTTGTGGGTAAATGGGGAAAGTCACTATATGTCAAAGACTTTAATGTAACACATGACACACAACAGGATTCCGCAGTGACTGTGCACACATAGATTGATCAAGTGTAGCCTTTATCCTATTCTATCATAATGATTGGTTTCCATGTCCTCCTTCCCCATTAGACTTTGTGCTCCTTGAGGACAGGAAATTGTATGTTTGCATTTCTGTACAGGGCACACAGTAGGTATTTAATACCTTTTTTTTTTTTAAGTTAAATGTGATTTTTAAAAAATATATATTTATTTTATTTATTAATTGAGGCTGCGCCGGGTCTTCATCAGGACATACGGGATCTTTAGTTGAGGCATGTGGATTCTTAATTGTGGCATGCATGCGGGATCTAGTTCCCAAACTAGGGATCGAACCCAGACCCCCTGCATTGGGAGCATGGAGTCTTACCCACTGGACCACTGGGGAAGTCCCTTAATACCTGTTTATTGAATGGATGCATTCAGGAATGAATGAATGGCAGTTTCCTTTCTGCCCCTAAGCGGGACAGGGAAAAACACTGTGGGTGGATGGCATGAAGGGACAGGCGACCTGCAGTCACTCAGCCTGGCCTGTGGCCTGTGACTTTGCCTCCTACACCCACAGAAGAAAGTCAGAGCCTTAGAGATTGTCCAGTCAACTTTCTCACTGCCCAGATGAGGAAACTAAGGCTCAGAGAGGGGAAGGCACTCGCCCAAGGTCACACAGCTAATGAGAGAGCCAGGATTAAGAATCTGTACTCAGGTTTCCTGATCTCCAGCCTAGGGCTATGTACACACTTCATTGCTTCTCTGGGGCTGTTGTCCTAGGGTAGGAAGATGATTCAGTGAAGGCTGGTTTCAAAGTCCCCTCTTCTGCCCTCTGTTAGTCCCTTCTCACATCTAGATCTAATCCTTTCCTTTTCACCCTATCCCATCCTTGTTCAGATGGGTCTGGCCTCTGAAGTCTGGCTCCTGCCTTAACCCTTTACCATCCAACTGGGAATAAGGCTGTTCCCTAGGGTTCCAAGACTCAATTTCCTTTCCCCACTCTCAGCCCCGGGAACTTGCGGGAACCAAAGATGGGGAGGGATGTTGGTTGAACCGCTGGCGCCCCCTCCACAAACAGACCGAGAGGAGTTTCGGCTTAGATCTTCCTGGGATGGGGATGGTGCGTGTGCGTGTGGTGAGCAGGGCTGGGAGTGGGGAAGGGGTGCGCGGAGCCCCTGTTGCTTTTCCCCTTTGGGGTGGCCATTAGATAGGCTTGGGGAAGGCGGAGTTTGGGGGGCCGGGGGCGGGGCTCTTGCGCTGGGAGGAAGGGGGGGGGCGCGCTGGCTCCA